GTGAAATTCAATGATCGTGCATTATTATAATGACTTACCGTAATTTGGATCCTGATTTGCCGCATGAATCCCCGATGGTCCTGGCATAAGTCCTGAAATTTGTCAAACGTCAAAGATCAATCAAATACCGTTTACTTTCTCAAATAGTTTTAAATTGTTTAGTATTAATTTAATTCATACAAGATTTTATTTATTACTATAGTTTCTATTGCTCATGTATACACACACACATATATATATATATATATATTTACCTTGTAGACCCAAAAGCGCAGCTGGGAAGGTACTACGATGATGCTCCATCGAATCATTCAAAATATCGCTAGGTTCTGTTTTCACTGAGTTTAAGATACTATCGTTGTTCGACATATCTTCCTCGTTGTCCGATATAGAATTCGAATCTTCGCCAGTCGATTGGGCCTAGAAAATGAAAATAAAAAAAAAAAAAAAATAATAAAAAAATAATAAAAAAAAAGAAAGAAAAAAAGGAAGAAAAAAGATATGTATATATATATACACAAACGCGCGCTTATGAATTGTGACATTTCATTCGTATCTTTGTTAAACGGACGGAAATCAATGCGGGTTAAACATGAATATGTATAATGAAATAGTATAATTATATGTATATATTGAAATAGTATAATTATATATATATATATATATATATATATATATATATAATATAAATATATATAGTTACCTGAACATTGTTCGTAGGTGTCGTATGTATCGTGGGTCCACCTTCAAGGGCCTGTCCCAAGAGAGACTCTTGTAGATCTGTTTTTGGCTCGATATGATTACCCAGTGGGGGACTATAACTTCTAGGTCTCTTATCCGGTGGAGGACTCAAGCCACTCTCATTAAGATCTCCCCTGCCGTTATCTTGCCATGGATTACGTGGCGTCGTCTGTGATCGGAGCAAGGATCAAACGATCAGATTTAACGATTGAGTTTCTTTAGGTACACTAGGTATTTGTGTATTCGTAATTTTACTTTTCTTTTTTTTCCTCTTTTTTTTTCTTTCTTTTCTCTTTTTTTTTTCTTTTTTTTTTCTTCTTTTTTTCTTTTAAACGACAAGAATCGATTTAGTAATACTTAATTTTTATTCGATTAATCGTAATAATTCGATTAATATGTAAGCTTTTGAAATAATATAAAAGAGATATTAGAGTTTTACATCTAAATGAACAATAATATCTTTGTTTAATATTTTCCATTGAAATAAAAAATGAATAAATATTATTGTAAAGAAGAAAAAAAAAGAATAAATAAATAAATCAATCAATCAATAAGAAAAGAAAGAAAGAAAGAAAAAGGAAAAACAAAAGAGAATACTTACGGGTGCACTACCATTGTTGCCACTTGACGAAGGTGGGGGTGGAATTTTAGCTGTAGCAGCACCACTATTAACATCCGCCAATCCTCGAACCTGAAGCATTTGCGCGGTCTTCAGAAAGGCAGCCAATTGTTCTTGACCGACGTGTACTTCTCCATGATACATAAACCGTAATAGGGACTCCATATCCGAAGATGCAACGTCCCTTAATATCACAATTGGATGCTGGCATGGGTTTGCCTGTAAATCATTAGAAAGAAAAACAAAAAAAGAATATATTATATTTTTTCACCTGTTAACCATTTTGAACGTATTACAGTGTACTCGTCAGAGAGAGACAGAGAGAGAGAGAGAGAAATAAAAAAAAAGTATATATATATATATATATATATATATATATATATATATATACTGGACGTTAATCATTGTTTAGATATTAATCGTTGTCATAGAAAATTTTTTTACGACAACTTCAAATCACTATTAATACCATTTCTTTCCTTTTTTTTTTTTTGCTCGGAATATGAAGTCATTTCGTACGGTTAATAATTGTGTTAGCTAGTTAAATGACACGACGCGGAAACATTCGCGGAAACGACGCGGAAAGGACATGGACATGGACACGTTAAGTCCAGATGTTTGTAATGGAGTACGTTTCACTGAAAAATTTTCTCTCTTTTTTTTTCCTCTTTCCTTTTTTTTCTTTTTTTGCAATTTTCATTTTTACAACTTAACAGCAGCCAAATCGTTCTGTACGCTCACTGTATATTTCGACGATTGATACTTCTCAAATCGTTATTTTTTTTCTCCACTTACGTAGAGTTAAGAAAAAAAAATCTAAAAATTATCGTCGGAAAAGATCCATCGATCACAGATCAATAGAAATTCGAGATGTAAAACTGATTAGAATAGAAAATAACCCTCTTTCTGATTTTACATTTTCTCATAAAGGTCATTTCCATTTATCCTCCTTCTCCTTCTCCTCGCTTCGACCCAACCCATATACAAACACATCGTTTCTACTCTATTCCGACGAGAATGAAATATTTCAAATGCATATTCGTAGAATAGTTTTCGTCGATGCGACCGTTTGATATCAATTAGAATTAATGAGTAATCCAAACGTGTGAAAGATTTTCATATGCAATCACGTAGTCGCTTATTAATATCAATCGAGTAAAGGTGCATAACATGCATATATATATATATAAATATATATACACGAAATGCATATATATATATATATATATATACGTACATGCATAGATACATAGATAAATGGATGCATCGACACTATACAATGGACACATTTACCATCGCATTCAAATTCATGGAAGTTGAAGCACGATCTCGACATTAATAAAACTCAATTGAACGCGTTAGATTATGATCAACCTAGCCGTTATATTATCGATGATGAGGTGTTCTATATCGTGCATAGAAATATTTATTATAGATTCGTTCGAACAACTATAGCCAACGATAACAAACTAACGAGCATAACGTTATATTGAGTTCAGTTGCGTTAAGTTGCATTACGTTGCGTTACTTTACGTTACTATAAAGAGTAACGAAGCTGGTTTATGTCACTGAACTTCGATTTACGATAACCGCACGAATTTTTCACTTTTATCATTATGACTTGACGCGAAAATTGATTTTCAAATTGACTTTTCAAATTGTTCCTATACAATCTATTATACCTATATATATATATATATATATATATATATATATATATATATATATGTATATATACACCCGCATACATACCTGCACACAATGACGTTACAATTATACGGAATTGAAGGGAAAACTTTCTAGACGCTCTTTTACCCCATCCCTCCTCATATTTAATTTACTTGTATAGATATAACGTATGCACGTGTATACATACACAGGGAGACATATATGTACACGTAATAATATAATAAAGTATTTACGAAACAACTTTATTTTTTTTTTTTTTCTTTTTTTCTTTTTATATATCGATAACGCAATCACTCGGGTATAAACGTATAATGTGTATACAGGTAACATCCGTCGTAAATATAATATCGCAAACTTTTAAACCAATTAATTATATTTAATTGATTAAACACACTTTATTAAACTTTTTTAACCTTTCTATTTATCTTTTTATTTATCTATTTCCTTTTTCTTTTTTTTTTTTCCTAATAACAAACGAATCGGAGAATTTTCAAACGTTACTTTGATTCTTGTTAGTTGCCTTAGGTTTCTACCTAGCTTAGGTTGATCGAAATGATTGGAATAATTGAAATAATCGGTGTCCGTCGTTGAAAGTACGATTGAAAGAGAAGAAGACGAAGAAGTATGAGGCGAAGGATGAAGAGGAGGAGGGGAGGAGAAGGAGGAGGGCAAGAGGGTTAAAGAGACGCAGAAAAGAGAGAGAGAGAGAGAGAGAGAGAGAGAGAGAGAGAGAGAGAGAATAAGAGTACCGAGAACTCCGCTATGGACTCCTTTATCGCATTAACCAATTCAATTAACAACTTTGAGACAAGCGCGTCTCACCCCTCTCCTCTTCCTACCTCCTCCCCCTTCTACCTCTTTACTTCACTACCACCCTCCCGTCCTCTCGGTGATGCTAATTAAAGCTAACGCGATTAAAACGGGTCAATAATTAATTGTATGGCTGGTCCGACGACGAGCGTCGAATAGACAAATCGTTTGAACGAACAGAATCTCAACGAATTCGATTTGTTTTTTTCTTTTCTTCCATTTTCTTTTTTCTTTCTTTCTTTTACTTTATTTCGTTTGTTTTTTTGTTTGTTCGTTCGTTCGTTCGTTCTTTTTTCTAATGTTTGAAATATTTTATAAGAAATTTTCGTTCGTTTAACGTGCAACATTTAATGCCTTTGCAATTTGTAACATAGACATTATTTTTCGTTATTCGATCAGTGTTTTTTTAAATCGTAAAAGAGATTTTCTAAATGAATATTGTGAAATTCAAGTGAAATTAGATTGGTATTAGGATATTGTCGATTGCTATGTCAAAAAGTCCATAGTATGGATTTAAAAGTGATCTTAGAAATATCTTTTATCAGTTGAGAAAAAATATTTGTTAATATTTATTAATTATATGAAAATAGAATATCGTCGATCATATGAAATATAATACATATAATAAAATATATAAAAAATGTATATATATATATATATATATATATATATATATATATATACTAAAATACAATAGCATAGATTGTAATGTTATATATATCCTATAAAATTTCTAAATCATACTAATGATTTTAGATTAATGAAAAATTTAAAAATTAATATAGATAATATTACAGATATTATCTATAATTATTTTTATATCAATAAATTTATAATATTACAGAAGATAAAAAAAAAATATATATATATATATATGTGTATGTGTACGTGCAAGCACACGCGCATTCATTCGTGTGTGCGTAAAAGAGATTTTGTAAGTATTTCCTTTCTATCTCTCTCCCTCCCTCCCTCTCTCTCTTTCTCTTTATTTCTTGACCAAGTTTTTCTTTTCAACAATTTAACATAGATTTATCTTTTGTCTCGTTAAAGTTATTCCCTGGTTGGTACATTATTATAGTGTACCAGGGCTCATTTTCATTAATCAATTATCCGAATGGATTTCACGAGCAAGAAAAGCAAACGATATCCTGACTCTTTAATCGATCGAACGATCTTCCTGCATTGCTTGACGCTTTTTAGAAAGTTGGTGCTCCGGATTCCAACGTGATCGTTTACAGGTGGCTAGAAAATTATGGTCGGCTAGTCGTGGCATGATGATACATAGGACGTTTATCGGTGCCATCGGATTCGGAGAAAACGATATACATATATATATATATATATATATATATATATATATATATATATATATATGTATGTATGTATGTATGTATGTATGTATGTATGTATGTATGTATGTATGTATGTATGTATGTATGTATGTAACTACTCTTAGAGTAGTTTTGTTATAGATGTACTTATATATATATATATATATATATACTAAACTGGATTGAGTAATGTAATCTTTTACTATATAGAGTGAGAACGAGAAAAAGGATTTATCAAACGATCGATCGGTCCATCGATGGATTGATCTTAACTAAGCTAATCTTACGTTGAATTAAATGCTTACATGAGTTTCTAATTTTTTTTCCCTTCCCTCTTTCTAAATTTCTTTTCCTATTTATATCAACTTTATCAATTTTACAAGATTACGTGTAATTAGTTTAATTCAATCAGAGATTATTTATGCAATAGAAAATTAATTGAATATTTTGTCCGACACTTGAACGTATTAATTAATTTTACATTTTTCTTATATAAAAGTTATATATGTATGTATATATATATATATTTTTTTTTATTTTTTTATTTTTTTGAAAGAAATTAAATTAATTACTATAAATGAAATAAATAAAAAGCAAAAAAAAAGAAATTAAAAACTCCGGTAAAGATTTTAATTATATCTCTGTACATGTTTGACGTTCATTTTTTTGAGAGAAAAAGAGAGAGAGAGAAAGAGAGAAAGAGAAGAGAAAAAGAAAAAAGAAAAGAAAAATTGCCTATAAAATTTATTTATTAAATTTTACAGAACGGAGATTTAAAGTTAACGATTAGGGAGTATCAAAAACGCAGTTCCTAATCGTCCGTGGTATCCGTATATATCGTGTTCGCATGTATCAGAAGCACCCCAACTAAAGCGTAAGTAGAAAAGTAGATACAATTGCATGGTTTCTGATCCGGTTATGCGGTGAACGAGCTGCGTTCATGGCTTCGCAAAATATGTTCGGTTCGTTGTCGTTACTACGACTACAATGCCATCGATATACGAAAATATTGCGGATGTTTATTTTATGGATTCAAATAAATAATGGATTTAACGTGTTTATATTACATTTTTATTCGAATATATTTCTATGGCTATAACATTCGAGATTATCGATTAAACAAACTCTATAATTCATTACTATAGTTATCATTATATATATATATATATATATAATTTTTATAGTTATATAGTCGGTTTGTATGTATAATAATTTTTTAGTTGTATTTGAAATCATTCAACTTTTGTGTTAAAATTCATTTACTTACAAAATTAGATAGATTTTTCTTTTTCTTATTTTTTACTTTTGTTTCCGCTAAATATTTATTTACTTTGACCGATTGTTTTCTCCTTTCCTTTTTTTTTCTTTTTCTAATCTTTTAAATAAATC